AGAACCGAGACTTTCCTGTGCTGCTGGCAGAGGTACCATGTAATCTGCAGTCACTCTGGGAAGCTGGTAGTAATCCTCTCACCGAGGCTGAGCACGTCTGTACGTACTCTAGGGCGTGGCCGCTTGACCTCTAGGTGTACACCCTTTAGAAATGTGGCCATATATTAACTCAAAGGCATGTTCGAGAATTCCCATAATTACTAAAACCTGGAAATAGCCCACGTAGTCACACATCACTGAAACAGCTAGATTCAGGACACAGGCAACAACATAGACGACTCTTAACACCAATGTGAAACTGGGGCCAGCAGGTGGCATGGTAGTTAAGGCACTGGACTCCCACATGGCCAACTGCAGTTCAAGTCCCAGACCTAGCGGCGTGCTTTCCCTATTTCTCTGTCTCTCTGGTGGGTGAGTGCACATGCCTTGTAGCAAATTTAAAAATAATAATAACATGGTCAAATAAATAATTCCTTCAAAAATTATATTAAACAAAACAAAGGAGAGCAAAAGAAGCAAGACACAAAAGAGGCCATATATAGAGAATTCTATTTATAATAAATTTACAAATATACAAAGTGAATTTCTGATAGTGGTTACCCTTAGGAACAGATGTGTGATTAGGAAAGGGGTCAAGAGGGTATCCCCAGGAGGCTGGTGATGTTAGGTTCCTGATCTGGGAGTTTGTTATTTAGGTGTGCTCAGTTTGTGAACATTTGCCAAGTTGTGTACATATTGCATGTACACTTTCTAGAATGTATGTTACTTTAAACTTATGTTGAAAACAATAGGACTGCATCTGCCTCTAGAAAAATCAGGAAAATTTTTTTAAAGATTTATTTATTTATTTTTATTTATTTATTTTTTAAATTTGCTAAAGGGAACATGTGCTCACCAGAGATAGAGTAACAGAGAGGGAAAATGAGAAAGCAAGTCACCAGGTCTGGGACTCAAACTGTAGTTGGCCATGTGAGAGAGTCCAGCACCCCCCACCCCGCCACCCACTGGCCCAGATCAGGAAACATTTTTATATCAACATATCTTTAGAGTTAGCAGTGAACACTCTTGATAACTTTGTAGAATGAACTGATTCCTCATATTCCCAGACGGATGCATGGTGCTAGTCAATTAAGAGAACAGCTACTCAGGCTGGCTCTGTGGTCTGGTGGTTAAGGCAGCCAGACATCACATGGCTGAACACATAGTTTGAGTGCCAAGCCTGGTGGCCTGAGACAGATACCGGGCATGCACACATGTGTGCCCAAATTCTGAAAGGAGGGACTGAGGGGGGAGGAACTGAGGGGGAGAAGGGACCGTGGTATGATAATTTGCCATGGGCGGTGCTTTCTTCTCTTTCTCTGGCAAGTGCACACATACTCTAGCAAAAAAAAAAGAGAGAGAGAGAGAGAGAAAGAGAAAAGCGTATTCAATGGAAGATCATGCCAACTGTGGTAATTTTATGCTACAGAAACCATTCTCTTCTGTAACTTTCTTGAATAATAAAGGCCATACAATTTCTGGGCACAGCTGAAATTAAAAAAAAAAAAAAAAAAAGAATGAAGCCTATACATAATGTTACATGTATTAGATTGTCAGGAAAGTCATGATGCATTTTTTGATGTTTTTCTATGCAAATCATGACTTTCCCAACAACTCAACAGCATAATTTCATATAATTTTGTTTTGAGAGAGATGTTCACTATAGGGCATAGGCACTCACCAGAGAGACAGAAAGCGAGAAAATCACCCCTCAGGGGAGTGGCCATGCTGTAACAGCTTTTTCTCCATTCTCCCCCTCTTGGGATTTAGGGCATGCACAAACATGCACCTGGCGTAAGTTTCAAGCCACTGGGTCTAAGATTTGAATCACGGTGGGCCACGAGGGAGTCCAGGGCCTTAACCATCACACCATTCACTGGTACGATTTTACATAATTTTAAAAAAATGTCCAGGTAAATGTTTTTCTAGAAACACAAAAGAAATTTCCCTCTGGGGAATATGGATGATGGGAGTAGGGTATGAAAGAAACTTTTTTCATATGCCCTTTTCTATTGTTTTATTTTTTACCATATACATTTTTTAGATGACAAAATTAACACTCTTTAAAAGTATACTAACACAGAGAAAGAAACCACTGCAGAGCCAGCCCGTGGTAAAGAAGATAAAGATGGGGTTTATCAATGATCACGTGACACTGCACTGAATTTACATGACATCATATCTAGCTCTCTAGAAAAAGACTTAACCCTTTTCATGTCATGGTATGTGTGTTAATTTTTACTAAGAGGGAAGCATAAATTAAGACAAAATTTGTATGACATACTGGAGCAAACAGGAGGAGGTTAAAGGGCAGTTGTATAGGGATCGGTAAAAAATATTCCATTAGACAGAACTTTCCGGTTCTCTTAACACACAGTATGACTATAGATAACAATAACACACTGTATATTTTACATAGCCAGAGAGGATATTGAATGTTTTCTCAATAAAGAAATGATAAATGCTTAAGGTGAATATGCTAGGCCAATCCCATAGCCTATTGGTTAAGGGAGCCAGACCATTCATGGCTGACTACGTGGTTTGAATCCTGGCCCTGACAACTTCAAAAATACACAGGGCACATGTGTGCATGTGTCCAAAGCTCCATCAGATGGAGAGATGGAAAAATGGAGAGGAGGGATTGTAGTATGACCACGCCTCATTGGTGGGTGCTTTCTACCTCTCTCTGGTGAGCATGCATACCCTCTCGCTTATAAACAAAAACAAAAGAAGAAAAGATACAAGCGGCCAGCATGTGGCCTGGTGGTTACATTAAATTGGATGTCATGGGACAAACTGCACAGATCAGGTACTGGACAGGTAGCAACAGCTACCTGTGAGAAACACACCAAGCGTGTGTGCCTGCGTGCCCCAAATGCTCAAAGTAGGGAGAGACAGAGGAGAAGGACTGCAGTGTGATGCCCCCTGAGGGGTGCTTGCTTTCTTTCACCCTCTTTCTCTGTCTCTATTGAGTGCATGTGCCTTCTGGTAAATTAAAAAAAAAGGTGATGGCTATGCTAATTACCATGACTTGATCATTATTCAATATATTACATGTGCCAAAACATGGACTGTAGCCCACAAATGTGTACAATTATGATCTGTTAATAAATACTGAAGGGCCTGCCCTGGAGAGTAGCAGCCAAGCCCTGTGAATCAGGAGACCGAACACACGCGGCTGACGGGAATCTCAGCGTCAGCCCGAGGGACTTGAAAAGCACCCCAGGCACACGTGTGCGCATGCCGGAAATGCAGAAATGGAGGGAAAAGGGCTGCAGCATGGTCATGCTCCCTTTCTCTCTGGTGACCAGCCTCTGATCATTTTTTTTTAAGCATTAAAAAAAAAAATCCACCTCATTTGGTATGTATCTCTGTATTGGGTCATGATACGAAAACACCAAAAAAAAAAAAAGGTTTGCGAGCCACTTACCCACAGTTACCTGACTAACGATCACGTACTAAGTGCAGGTATATTTAAGGAAAAGCCTACACAACACTTGAGGCAAGAGCCTGGCCTCGTTTCAACGTGAAAACTGATTTTTCCGGTGAGGACATGATGTATACAGTCAGTTCGACTGCTCAGATATTAAAATGTAGATTTCCCAAATTCTTGACATAAATTATTTATGTGAAGTAAAACTGTAGTCTCATGCCATCTATAAGAACGACTCGGGGTTAACTCCTAACATATTTTCCTCAATGCTAACACACTCCCGTCAGCATTTCTGAAATAAGCATGCTGTCTTTGCAAAGAGCATTAAGGTATTCCAAATCAGAGATGATCTTAGAGAGCTAACCCACATTCCTAATTTTATAAGCAAAGGAACTTATGCCTCCAAAAGTAAAACAGTATCTTAGTTCCAGGCTAATGCTTTCCTCTGTGATATGCACTTACTTCATGCATGCATGAAGTGAAGTCAGAAGACAGCTAAATATAACCGGACCCAGTGACAAAGGGAAAGCTGAAGCAAGGAGGCACTGGAAGGTCTAGAAGGTCTCCGTCCTAAAAGGATGACACCACCTCCTCCCCTGCCCCCAAACTGTACAGAGATCTGCCCTTGTCAACCTTTGGCTCTGATTTCAACTGAGGGAGGCTGTTTAACGTGCCTGCACGCAGTGAGTGTGTCTAGGCCCAAAGAGCACACAATGAACACACACCAGAGGAAGACCACGGTCGGTATAGTGACAAAGTGCAGCATCTTTCTCAACATACCCACTTCGGTCAGGACAGAAGCACTTCACAGGCATTTAAAACCCAGCTGCAAACAGAACCCCAGCATGTGAGGGGGAGATAAGGTCCTGTAGACCCCGAGAGCAAAGAAAAAAACAACCTGCGGATCATGGACCTCATTGAAGAAGAATTCTCCTACAGTTCAACTTACCGTTCATGTCACAAACTAGAAAGGACACAGAGGCACGGAACTGATGAGGCATGGAATAGAACTCTGGGCTGCAGCCGGCCCCAACTCTTCCGACAAATACCCAGCAGCAATAGGACAAAGCATCATTATGACAGAAATAAAAGGCTCTTTAGATGCTGCCTTTTTTTCATTCAATGAACCCACTCTTACACACAAAGTTCATGCCACGATGTCTCGAAATGCAGGCTTGCCAGATTATGCTATCAATGGTCTCAATCAACTCAGTACAAAACAGTCAAACGTTTTATCTTAAGTAATTAGCACATTGGTGAATATTTTCTACCATTTAAATAGTCATCCCCAAAACAGTACAAAATGGTAACATTTCAATAAACTGATTAAGAAATGGAGGGGGGGGAGATACGTGAACTAAAGCGAGGAAAACATTAGTTGAGCAGTGAAACAGCCACAGGTCCTCTCAGAGAAGAAGAGTACATGAGTGCATGTCACCAGCAGCTGGAACGAAATTAACCACCTATCTTATCTACGCTTCCCCCTAAACTGAGTTATCAGTATTACAATAGACAATTGGTTACTTACAAAAAAAAAGTGAAGCTGCCGGACATGTCTTAAGCTGGTTTTTGTGTGGCAATTCTGCTGCAATGCTGCCCTAAGAATGAACTTTGTTTTAAACAGCAAGATATCCACACTCGGTGCGGTTACCGCAAGGGTGGAGCCCACTCTGGGGGAAACAACACACCCAGGCAGATTTCAGCGAAAGCGCACTGCACGTTAATATGGCTACAACATTTTTCAGGGCCTCAGAGTCAAAATGAATTGGTTAATCCTCCTCAAAGAAACAGGGGAAAAGTTCATGCTTGTTGATCAGAGTTCCTGCCCTGAAGTGAAGTATAGACTCATTTGTTTTTCATGAAGAAAGGAAAGATAAAAATCCAAGGTAGGGTCACGTGGCTCAACCTCAGAGCTCTAGGTGGGAGTGCACCACTACACAGGAAGTGCAACCGTGCCAATTTCTAAGTTTAGCCACAGCAGCTTCTGCGTATCTCAGATGGTCAGAAACGCTGCTCATCGAGAACATGACTTGGGCTATTTTCAGGGACCTGAACATGAGTATATATTACCTACTTTCTCTCTTCCCCAATGTTCTAATTCTCCTAGCAACACAGGAGCAATCAGAGCATTTCACTGCCAACTATTGTAGCAAGAGTTGCCTTCAAAACTAAGGGAGGTGATTTATGGACTTGCTTTGGTAGGATTATGGAACATAGAAGGGAAAATGACTGGGGCCAGCAGGTGGCATAGAGGTTAATGCTGCTGGATCCCACACAGCTGACTTTATGTTCGAGTCCTGGACCTGGCAGCTTGAAAACACAGCAGACGCGTGTGCAGGCATGGCCAAGATCCGGAGAAGAGAATGGAGAAAGGGCTGGTGGGTGGTGGCTTCTTACTTTCTCACTTTCTCTCTCTCTCTCTCTCTCTGGCAACCATACAGGTCCTATGCAAAACTAAAAATAAATAAACAATTCTGAAAGGAAAAATTATTTTGATAAAAACCACTAATATGTACACCACACTTAAAAGATTTTTATATTCAATCTTTCAAATACTTTCATAAATTTTTTAATTTTCCTGTGACTTTTTCCCAAATAATTCATTCCATATGATGTATACATAAAAATTATCTAAAAATCTTCAAAAGTGTCTAAAACAGGCCAGCCAGTGGCACAGTGGTGAAGGCAGCTGCCGGATCCCTCAAGGCCGACAGCCTAGCTCAAGTCCCACATCCAGGGGCCTGAGAAACACGCTGGCTACCTGTGCAAGTGTGTCCAGAATCCCTAAGGGAGGAAGAAACAGAGAACGGATTGCAGCATGACCATCTCCCATGGGGATGTTTTCTCACTTTCTCTCTCTAGTGAGTGCACATGTCCCCTGGCAAAACTGAAAGGAAAAAAAAAAAAAAAAAAGCAGTGCCTAGGGGTCACCAGGTGACGTGATGGCTAAGGCAGCTGGATTCTTACACTGCTGACCATAGTTAAGTCCTGGGCCCAGTAGCTTGAAAATCACACCAGGCACGTGAGCCTGCGTTCCAGGAGTCCTAAGAGGAGAACAGATTGTGGTGTGGCCATCCCCTCTGAGGACTGATATCTCTCTTTTTCTCTATCTGTCTCTCTTCTCTCTGATAAACACACAAGCCCTATGGCAAAACCTTAAAAAAAAAAAAAAAAAAAGTGTCAAAAAAGAAAAAGGTGTCCAAAACAACTTGTCAGTATTGAAACTATTTTCAAATATCTGACTATTGTTCAAAGTGATTTTCCCCAATACTTTTTTATTTATTTATTTATTTATTTATTTTATATTTTTGGAGAGGTTTTTTTTCGCTATAGGGCGCGTGCGCTCACCAGACAGACAGAGACATAGAGACAGAAAGTGAGAAATCACCCCCCAGGGGGGATGGCCACGCCACAATCCCTTCTCCTCCATTCTCCTCTTGGGATCTTGGGCACGCAAGCACATGCGCCCGGCGTGAGTTTAAGCCACCGGGTCTGGGACTCGAACCAGGTCAGCTACATGGGAGTTCAGCGACATAGCTGCTGGTCCCTCCCCAATACTTTTTATATATATGCACTGAGACATGACTGTTACTTTTTAAAAATATTTTATTTAACTTTATTTATTTATTCATTTTAATCTCACCAGAGAAGGATAGGGTGAGAGCTAAAGAGGGAGAAAAAGCAAGTCACCAGGTTCAGGACTCGAACCACAGTCAGCCATGTGGGAGTCCAGTGCCCTTAACTACCATGCCATTGCTGACCCCCACAATTCTTATTTTTTAAATGAATTCCTATAATGGTGAAATAAAAAATAAGTTTCTAGTAAAATACCCAAACATGTTAAAGATTATAAATGATTATATAAACTATTTAAAACAATGAAAATGGTTTTAAGAGAAGCCCAGGAAAACACCTTTAGTGATGCACGTTATCACATTACCCAAGCCAACTGCTACTCCCTTGCACTGGAACAATAAATCAGTCCAGAGTACTGAACATTTCAATATTTTGAATGATGGCCTATAACACTTTTTTTTTAAAGATCCTAGGGAGAGGGGCCAGTAGGTGGCACGGTGGTTAAGGGCGCTGGAGTCCCACATGGCTGACGGTGGTTCGGGTCCTTGACCTGGCGGCTTGCTTTCTCATTTTCCCTTTCTCTCTCTCTGTCTGGTCAAATTAAATAATAATAACAAATGGAAATAAATAATTTTTATACAAAAATAAAAGATCCTACAGAGAGTGTGTTGTTTGATCTGGCCTTTGCTGAATTATGAAGTAAAAAAATCCATATGATAAATTAACCACACCAAAATAACCCTTTTAAAGTCCAAGTGTCTAACTGAATTATTTTTCTAACCATATATGTAATTAGAAATCACCTGCTGCCATCCCTTGCTCACCCCAAAACTGAACAACTCAAAGGTACCAGTTGGATATCATATTAGAAGAATCCCATCTTGATACTTTTTGAATTTGCACTGCTGGAAAAGTCTGTTTTCAAGTCAAACTTCACTTTCACAGCTGCAAAGGAAATGACAAGAGAAGAAAAACACAGCCAATATATATCAGCAATTAATTCCATCCACAACTGCCCAGCTGTTTGTGCATGGAAGAATCAGTCTGTTTCCTTTTGGGGCTTTCACCACTGAAAATTGATACTGCACTTTCAGAGACACAAGCTGTTTGTAACATGTCAGGAATGTGCACAAGCTCACACAGAGTTGAAGAGACAAAATGAAATCCAGATCTAGGTTTCTTGGGAATTGCCAGTATTATTTAATAACTTAAAAATAAATAAATAAAATATAAAAGCAACTCAAATAGAGAGGGCAAAATATACAAAAAAAATCTTCTCTCTTCTGAATATCACCACTCCAATAAGGAGCAAAATCTGCCATTGACTTCAGATTTATTATCAAGAACAGACGGTCTGATTTATTGGCATAGACAAGGTGTGACATTCTTAGGAATCCTCATGCCCCCAGTATGTTAAATCCAGCCAACACTTTTTGGACTACACAGCTGCTAGCTCAATGTGTAGCTAGCCTCTCTGAAAAATCTTTATAAATGGGGAAATTGTTGGGAATCAATGCTTTTACCACAGTCGTGTAGAAGACTAAATTTTTCTTGGTCAATTCCGACATTATTTGGCACTCACATACACCTGCCTGTTTTTAGGGATTCATGTAAATATACAGATCCTATCTTCTAGTGTAACTTCCCCACCTCTGCCCCAGACTTTTTGCCAGAGACAGAAAGCGAGAAATCAACCCCTAGGGTGGATGGCCATGCTACAATCCCTTCTCCTCCAGTCTCCTTCGGGATTTTGGACACACATGCACACGTTCCTGGCGTGAGTTTTTGGCTGCCAGGTCTGGGACTCGAACTGCAGTCGACTACATAGGAGTCCAGCAATGTAACCATTATTCCATCTGCTGGTCCTTAGGGTAACTTTCAAACAACCAAATTTCTTTCCTGCTCCCCTCTGCTCTCATTTTGTGGATTTTTTTTTTTTTTAATTTGCTAGAGGGTGCATGCACTCACCAGAGACAGACAGACAGACAGACAGACAGATGAGGAAAGTTCCTCCCATGGGGGGAGGAACCACAACCCCTTCCTTTCCATTTCTTCCTCCTGTCAGATTTTTGGGCCATACACACACGTGCCCGGTGGTTTGCAGACTCAAATTGTACAGGTGGCCATGTGAGACCCAGTCACTTCATCACCATACTACAGGCTGACCCGATTTTGCAGGGGTTTTTTTAAGAGAGATTTTTTGCTATAGGGTGCATGCACTCACAGGAGGAGGAGGAGGAGAGAGACAGACAGAAAGTGAAAAATTAACCACCGGGAGATGGCCATGCTGCAAATTCCTTCTCCTCCATTCTCCTGTTGGGATATTGACCAGGCACACATATGCCCAGCCTGAGTTTTAAGCCACTGTATCCAGGACTCAAACCACGGCCGGCTATGTGGGCATCCAGTGATGTAACCATTACGCTACCTGCTGGCTTCCAATTTTGTGGATTTTTAAACAAAAATTATCTACTGAGTGCTAGAGCCTTCACAACTATGTTACATATTCATGTGCAACTCAGGAAGCATTCTGTTCCTCTCTCCCCTCATCCTCCAATCCAATTTTATTTCAAATATTTATTTCACTTAAACCTTCTAAAATATTCTATTACACTGTATTTTCACTATGTAAAGTAACTACTTGCATTTTCAGGTATGTAAAATGACTTGTGATTAGTTACTGTTATGACAAGAGAAAGATGGCATTTTTAGAACTAAATAATTCAAAACATATTTTAGCTTTTTTTTTTTTTAATAACAAAACAGGAAATGAGACATGGAAAAAACATGGAAACGACATCACCATGACTGAATTCACTGTCCTATGGGCCTTCCCCTTCCCTTCGCCCACCCATCAGTATCAGGTGCCCGAGAATTCATGCACTCCCAACGTCTGTGCATTTTCAAACACCACATAGATGGGACACTCATTCTGGACACGACTCGGGTCTGGGGCTGACCAGTGAAGAGAGGACAAGTTGTCTCTTCCACATGAGAGAGTAAGAGGTACATTCTGTAGGCTTCCAAATCAAGACGATTTCAAGTACGGAACTCAGACTAGCACAATGAAAACTAGTCTCCAACTGAAGCGCTATGGATCCTGAAAGTACGAAGTTGGATTTGTTGAAGAAACATGAGGCAATACAACCTGTGGTAGTTTGGAAACAAAGCACAAAACTAAAAACAGCTTTTTTCCTTTTGAGCAAATGTCATCTGGTCAAGGATTTATCTGGAG